ATAAATACGAACAAGAGACAGAGCTAAAAAAAGCTTTTTCTCTCTTGTAAAAAAAAGCTCATAGCAAACACAAATACTAGCTTTCAATTTTATTTTCTTTGGATTAAACAGTTTTAATACACAAGTACTGCAATAAGTGTTAAAAGGAAATATCTATTTCGCGGGTACATTGGTGGTCTTGAAAACCTGTAATTAGGGTTGTCGGTGTAAGCCAAATTTAGTGGCATGCCATTAAAATTTGGCTTGCACCAATACTTGTATAGACGTTTGTTTTAAATAAGATTATAGTATTTTAATTCTGTGAAACTTACCGATTTTAGATACATGTTTTAGATCGAAAAAAAAAACTCGTTTGAGTTGCCTTTTACAAAAATGGAAAGCAAAGATAATTCTAAACCAGCTGAAGAGCAACCTATTAATATTTCACAAAGGCATGTTAAACCTTTTAACCTCTTTTAACTCGATAAAATATTACATTCATCTTTCAACTAATCAAAAATTCAAATAACAAGTGATCAAAATTCGGCTGAAGCAATAGACGCTCCAGTAGTTGAACAACATTCCGTGATTGGGAGGAATTGGATCTCTTTATTTCTCTTTATGCAAAAACTCAAAACTTTGTTAGTGTTATACGTGGATCCGAATATGATAAGGGAGTTTGTCGAATTCGTCGATATGCTTGTAAACATCAAGGTCATAACAGTGCAAAGAACAAGACTAATATTGCTGAGAACCAATGACAGACATGAAGTAAACGTACTGGATGTCATTGGGCTGTTTGTGCTAGTTGTCCAAAAACAACAGGCATATTGAGCATCAGTTCCCTTTGTCTGGATCATAATGATCATCCAATAAAGGATGAAACCAATAGGTTCGCATTAAAATACCAGGTGTTTTCTGAGAGCATGTTAAGAGACATTAAATTCTGGACTGAGATTGGTAATATTAGTATGAGGACGCAGTATCAAATGCTAACAAGTCAATATCCAAATTTTTTCTTTTTGCCTCAAGACCTCTCAAATGTTATTCAGACCTTTAAATGACAAAATCGTGTTGAATATGAGGTGGCTACTTTACTTAATCATCTTTTAGAGTGTAAAGCTGAAGACACCAGGTGGATTATAGACTGGAAGTTGATTCTACAAATAACTCTCTTGCATCCTTATTTTGGATATCACCAGACCAATATGATCTGTATATTCAATACAGAGACGTTGTCCAACACGATAACACTTATTCAACAAACCAGTTTAAGATGGCGCTGGGCTTCTTTGTTGTAGTAGATAATAATAACCGGTCTCGTTTGGTAGGACAGGCCCTTATGAACGATGAAACGGTTGAAAGTTATGAATGGGTATTGCAAACCCTAATTTCAAATACAAATGTTGCGCCTTTAATAATAATTACTAACAATGACCTTGCTGTTAATGCTGCTATTGCCAATGTGTTATCTAACACATATCACATCCATTGTATATTCCACATAGGACAGAATTTAATTAAAAATTTGAAAGGCAGAATGGGAGAACGATATAACGATTTTT